TTTCTTTCCGCCGTCATCGTAGGTCACTCTAAATGCAAAGCGCTCCCATACAGCAGACCTATAAAGTGCTGCTGGTACGTCTACCAACTCGCCAGTCCGACACAACTCTCCACAACAACTGATTTTTTTCCCTGCTACACCCGGCTAAGCTGCTTCGCTTCTTCTTCTTCTTGTTTACTACTGGCGGTTGGCTTTGGTCGCAGTACCGCCACCTTCTGCTCTGGAGTGTAAACGCTTCCTCTATGAGAAAAAGAAGCAGCGCATGAACCGAACGAAACACACGCGAACCGAACCGAAACAGTCGAACCGAACGATTCTGACGGTTTTCATAAATCGTCCCATCCCTATTGTGAACAAGTGAATAAATCTGTGAAGTACAAAGACACGGTGGAAAACACCCGAAATGAGTCAGCTGATTGTAAGTAGGAGATGAAGCAGTATGCACGTTGTTATCAGAGAACTGAGCCAAAGACGCACTGTGCCGAGCCCTACTGCTGAACGAGTGGAATAGAATAGAAAACCCCTATATTGTTCCACAATGAGGAAACTCTAGTGTTTTCAGCGGCAAAAAGTTTATAGAAAAAATGGTCACACAAATGTGGACCTTAGAAAATCTATAAGAACAACATAATAGTGAAGAGTTAAGAGATAAATAATAAAATACTGTACTGTAAAGTGTTTTTAACCATATAAAAACTGTACACCTGGAAGGTAAATAACCAATATACAGCTATGGACATTTTTACTGTGATTGATATTTTAAAACAGCAGTAACATCAGAGATGTAATAGTGTAAATGGGGCTCTATATCCTCCAAATATGGAGTCCTACTTAAGGACCGGATGTGATGCAGTTACTGGCTGATTGAGTTAATAGCATTCAAAGCAGTAAAATAAGCTGTGTTTGTTGTAGGAGCTGCCTGCTGACCCCCGTGGGCCCGTCACAGTGGAGATCTTCGTGGACGGGATGAGTCTCAGCAGGATTCTGTGTCACCACCAACACGCCTCCATAGACTGGACTCTTTCAACTCTGAAGGTCGTCATCCATGATACTTCAAGCGTTTTCCGCACATGAAAGCCTCCTAAAGTTGCTTCTGAGTGTTTTTTTCCTCCTGCAGGGTGTTTCACCGGTGCCTCCTGCCCCCATCCTGGATGAATGGGATTTCAGCACTGAGGTATAGCTCTCAAATTTTCAAGAAAAGGATACTTTTAAAGAGCTGTGTATACTTTGATTAAAGCTTTGTGGGTGGCATTCAGAAATTTAACATGATGAAGGTTGGAAATGAAAAAGCTTTTCATCGGGATCAGAGATTTTATGTTCAGACCCATTTATTAAAATGTTCAGATAGCTAGGTAGCTGTTATCATTAACATTTCAGGATTTTGGAGTGCATTTAATTAATTAATTGGGTTATTTAAAGGTATTGTGGAGGATTTTTTAAAAGACCCGCCCATCCGCTGCCATCAATCCTGCTCTCCAACGTCCGCTCGTTGGAAAACAAAGTGGATAATCTCCGACTCTCTCCGACTCTGACCCGTCAGAGTGATGGCGCACTCTGACGGGGTATTGGCTTCATCCAGCAGTACCGGATGGTGCTGTTGGCCTGGGAGAGCTAATGTTCTACCGCGCCGATAGAAAACAGAGCTCTGGGTGAATGGAGGCTCTTCTGAGACTGTTCCCAGGCAATACATGCGCTGCTTTGTTTTTAAAAGATATAAATATAAACAATATAACCACGGATGTCTGGGGGACAGTGATTCGCCTACATGTTATGAATGCTGGCGTACCATAAATGATAAATTATGAACAGCTTAGTTTGTGCCTTCAAGTCGTCACCCATAGAAGACGTTACTTGGATTTAACCTAACGGAATATCTTCAGAACAGCTCCATATGACACAAAACTCATATGGGTGAGTAGAACATGATGTAATTACGTAAAATCAAGGGCCAAATGTAAAACAATTGAAATTTCCCCTTTAATATAGAGCTCCTCCACACTTTTTAATTGGATGTTGCGACATGTCAGATAAAAACCCTTTGGTTTTGCTGCAAGTGAGAATATTGCTAATGCTAACCTAACAGCACTGAATTGGATGAGCCACTTACGGAACAGGAGGAGTTAAACTTGTAGCTTTCCCCTTTAACTATTTCTGGGGTTTTTTTCTGTTCACCTTAAATCCTAAATGCACCTCTGTGTTCATTCTGCATAAAACTTTTCGTCACAAATTCATAACTACCTCCAAGCGGATAACAAGGTTCTGTTCTTGTTTTCAAAATCACTTCTCAGGGTCTGGCGGATCTTGACGAGTCGGTGTTGGGATCCTTTGTGAACCCAGACCTGCCGCTGAAGGGAGAACGATTTAGAGTCAGAGTCACTCATCTATTGACCCCCAATGAGGTACCTGCTAATGCTCTTAAAAAGAAAATCAGATTGTTGTTGTTGAAGAGCTCTTAAATCCAGAATTGTGATTAAAACTGATGAGTAGCTTGTCAATAAGTGGACTTTACCTTCTCTGACATGTAGCTGTTCCTGCGGCCTGTGAAGGAAACAGAAGATCCTGATATTGGAGAAACTCTTGATGAAGCTTTGTTGAGAATCAATGCAAACATCAGCTCTCTGCAAGACATGAACAGCTTTCAGAGTGGTAACGTTCCCCATTATTCCTAAATTAAGAAATGTCAATTTACTGAAGGTATTGCTTTTTCATATAAATTGACGCCCTTTGAAATATTTTGTTTTATTTTTAGTCAAATATTTTATTATACTCTACTCTAGTATTAGGGCCAAGCTAGAGAATTTTTTTTCTTCTACTTCGAAAATAACGTGGTAACATTGTGAAAATAAAGTCCTAGCATTATAAGAATAAAATCATCATACAACGACCCGTTTCAGAAAAATAAAGCTTTGAGCTCCAGCCGGCATATGACGGCCGACCAGCTGCACCAAACAGCAACCTGAGTCCACTTTGACATCCTGCTCAATTTGATGCTGGTGCTAAAAGATTAGCTTATTTTTCTAAGCAGAGCCAAAGAATAACTTAACGTGATGCTCCATATTCATCATTTTAGTGAAGAAATTGCTTCTTGTAGGAGTTGTCGTAAAATACAACTTGTTTCTCGCAATTTTAGGACTTTATTCTCTTAATATTACGACTGTATTCTCCTAATTTTATGACTTTCGCATTGTGACTTTATTCTCGTGTAACGTTATGACTTTATTCTCTTAACTTTGCGACTTTATTCTGGTAACGTTGCGACTTTATTCTTGTAACGTTGCGACTTTATTCTTGTAACGTTACGACTTTATTCTCGTAACGTTACGACTTTATTCTCTTAACGTTAGGACTTTATTCTCTTAACGTTAGGACTTTATTCTCTTAACGTTAGGACTTTATTCTCTTAACGTTAGGACTTTATTCTCGTAACGCTGTTAGGACTTTATTCTTGTAACGCTGTTAGGACTTTATTCTCGTAACGTTGTTACGACTTTATTCTCGTAACGTTGTTACGACTTTATTCTCGTAACGTTGTTACGACTTTATTCTCGTTACGGCTTTATTCTCGAAGTAGAAGAGAAACAAATCTCTAGCCTGGCCCTAAAACTCCATCATAATTTTCAGAGTTTTGTAATACAGCAAAACTATTATTTTTTTAACAGTTCAGGTTAGGGCTGACACACTTAAATGATTTAATCCTTATAAATTCATATATATAATTAATCATCAACTAATCAGATATTGAAATGCGGGTGTTTCCAGGGTGTGGGTCTTGAGATGGTTATTGTAATTATTGTGATGTGATTCCTGAGGTATATAGAGGGCCAAAAATATCATGACATACAAAAACATTAATGTTATCAAGTAAAAATATAAATTGTTGTTTAAAATTTCAAAAAAAAAATTCCCAGTTATGAATGAAGGTGTTTGTTTGCAACAATTATGGAACAACATTCCCTCCATAAACTCCACTCCTGTAATCGCTGACCTTTTTTCCTCTCGCCTTCTGTCTTGCCTTTGTTTCTTTAGGCGCTCCATGTTTGGCAGAGTACAGTGATGGCAGGTTCTACCGCGCCAGGCTGATGACGTTTACCAGCATTGAGCCGCTCACAGTTAGTGTTCAGCACGTCGATTACGGCTCGGATGATTCTCTGCCAATCAGCAAGTGAGTTACTCTCTAAATTGCCTTAAAAATCTTCTAAATATTTTGCTGAAATGGAAGTTCTCCTGATTGACCAGCCTGACCCGAACCAAATGAATGAATATAGGCTACAGGCTTAGAGATGCATCGGCGCTGAACCACTGAGGTGTCAGTCTGCTCTTTAAGCCATGCTTTAGTCTTAAAGGGTAAAATAAAAGCGCTGTTTTAAAGATATTCTACAGGTTTTCCTTTCGGGCTGTATTTCCTTCTTAAAAGTACTCCTATATTGTTTGCTCTTCTCATGTTTTATTTTCTATTCTATTTTCTTTTACAAAATGGAGCAAAAGGGGGTTTTTTTTCAGCTCACAAAAAGTAACGTCAATGAATGCTTTTATTTTTTGCTAACATTTAGCACTGATAACTTTATCCTTGAGTGAAGTACAGTAACTCTGCTATTCTGTTTCACACCGTATGACTAAATTAACTGTGATAACACATTTTAAAGCCAATGAGCAGTGATCACAAAATCTGTGGTTGTTGTGTTGGTTTCTGATGTTGGGAAGGAAGTATCCAAATCTCTTGCACTGTTGGAAGAAAATGTAGTTTTTCCAATTAAAATATTGGATTTCATAGAATAGAATAGAAAATCCCTTATTGTCCCAATGAGGAAATTCTGCTGTTTACAGCAACATAAAGATTATAGAAAATATGGTCACACAAATGTGGACCTTTAAAAGAGTGTATAAAATAAAATAATTCTGAAGAGTTAAAAGAATAAACATTATAAAATACTGTACTATAAAGTGTTTTAACAATATAAATACTGTGCACCTGGACAATGAACAACCAATATTCAGCTATGGACATTTTTACAGTAATGGATATTTGAAAATAGCAGCATGAGAGATGTGCAGAATGACAGCAGCATGTTATTTAACTGACCAAGGTTTCTATCACTACATTTGATTTTATTTGTTCCTGCTCCCGTTGGTTGAAACCTTTATTCCATTCTGGATTCTTGTGAGTGTAGTCTTTGTTCACTTTATAATAGAAAATAAATAAATAAGCAAACAGTTTTGAAAACTTCGGTTTTCATTCTTTTCCTGCTTTGTGTGTCAACTTTCATGGTTGCTAAGCAACATAGCCTACGGCGGTAAAACCCGCCGAAGGGTGGACCTGTTCGAATTCACAGCCAAAACTCTTCCAGTCTCCTTATTTTCACGGACTTCGAAGGATCCAGTCTAGGTAGACCGCGTCCTTGGAGGATGCAGCCCAAGTTTTCGAACAGAGCCATTATCCAACAGAGATGTTAGTTAAGTTAGGATCCTTTGGTTCCTTGTCTCATGATGAATTTTTCCCTTGCAATGAAGCTGTGTTATTTTTTTTTATAAAGTAGGTCTACTCTTTTGCAAACTCTCCATCAATTGTTCTTCTGTTGGCTACTATTATTTTCAGCAGAAAGCATAAAAAACCCTCTTCACATCTACAGTGCTGTGGATGTAGGTTTTTAACCTTTAACTCTTGTTCTTCCCACCAGGCTGCGACAGATGCCCGCCGAGCTGCTGCAGTTCCCAACACAAGTAATAAAAGTTAAAGTCGCCGGCTTCAAAGCTCCAAGTGTCAAACAGAGCAAGGATGTCCTTCCGTACTCCCCGGAATGGAGTGTGAAGGCTGTCATAGAGATGACAGATCTGCTGCACGGCAACCTCATAGCAACCGTTGTTGTAAGAACCAATCATCTATTTTTTTGTTGTCCTGAAGGAATACTAACCCCAAAATCCCACATCCTCCATAACCGCTCTGCTCCAGACAGCCTGCGCTCTGAGTTCCTTGGAGCTTAAGGAAAGCGTGCGAAGGACCAGCTCTACCATATTTAAAAATAAATACAGAAATAAATAAATGCTCAATAAATAAATAAGCATAA